GAGGGAGAGAGAGGGTGGGAGGGAGAGAGGGAGGGAGGAGGGAGGGGGGGGGGAGGGAGGAAGGAGGGAGACTAGGGAAGCGAGGAGAGAGGGAGGGAGGGAGGGAGGGAGGGGAGGGAGAGAAGAGAGAGAGAGGGAGGGTGGAGGGAGGGATAGGGAGAGAGGGAGGGAGGGAGGGAGGGAGGGAGAGAGTGAGAGGAGAGAGAGGGAGGGGAAGGGAGGGAGGGAGGGAGGGATGAGAGGGAGGGAGGGAGGGTGGGAGGGAGTGGGAGGAGAGAGAGAGGGAGGGAGGGGAGGGTGGGAGGAGGGAGGGAGGGAGGGAGAGAGGGAGGCGAGGGAGGGAGGGAGGAGAGGGAGGGAAAGGCGAGGGAGGAAGAGGGAGGGAGGAGGGAGGAGAGAGGGAGGGAAGGGTGAGAGGGAGGGAGGGAGGGAGGGAGGGAGGGAGGGAGGAGGGAGAGAGGGCGGGAGGAGGGAGGGACAGAGAGGGAGGGAGGGAGAGAGGGAGGAGAGAGGAGGGAGGGAGAGAGGGAGGGAGGGAGGAAGGGAGGGAGGGAAGAGAGGGACGGGAGGAGGGAGGGAGGGTGGGAGGGGGAGGGAGAGAGGGAGGGAGGGAGAGGGGAGGGAGAGAGGGAGGGAGGGAGAGAGGGAGGGTGGGAGAGAGGGAGGGAGGGGGAGGGGAGGGAGGGAGGGGAGGGAGGGAGGGAGGAGGGAGAGAGAGGAGGGAGGAGGGAGGGAGAGAGGGAGGGAGGGAGGGAGGGAGGGAGAGAGGGAAGGGAGGGAGAGAGGGAGGGAGGGAGGGAGGGACGGGAGGGAGAGATGAGAGAGAGAGGGGAGGGAGGGAGGGAGGAGGGAGAGAGAGAGGGAGGGAGGAGGGAGGGAGGGAGAGAGCGAGAGAGAGGGAGGGAGGGAGGGAGGAGGGAGGGAGGAGAGAAAGGAGGGAGGGAGGGGGAGGGAGGGAGGAGAGAGAGAGGGAGGGAGGGATGGGGGAGGGGAGGGAGGGTGGGAGGGGAGGGAGGGAGCGAGAGGGAGGGAGGGAGGGAGGGACCCCCTGAGAGGCCCTAGAGGGAGGGAGGGAGGGAGAGAGGGAGGGAGGGGAGAGAGAAGGAGAGGGAGGGAGAGAGGGCGGGAGGGAGGGAGGGAGGGGGGAGGGGGGAGGGGAGGGAGAGAGGGAGGGAGGGAGGGAGGGAGAGGGGAGGAGGGAGGGCAAGGCGAGAGAGGCGAGGGAGCGAGGGAGGGAGGGAGGAGAGAGGGAGCGAAGGGAGGAGAGGGAGAGAGGGAGGGGAGAGAGGGAGGGAGTGAGGGGGGAGGGAGAGGGGAGGGATAGAGGAAGGAGGGAGGGAGAGAGGGATCGGGGGGGAGGAGAGGGGAGGGAGGGAGAGACGAGAGGGAGGGGATGAGAGGGGAGGGGGGACGGAGAGGGAGGGAGGGAGAGAGGGAGGGAGGGGAGAGAGGGAGGGAGAGAGGGAAAGAGAGGGAGGGAGGGAGGGAGGGGAGAGAGGGAGGAGGGAGGGAGGGAGAGAGGGAGGGAGGGGATGGAGGGAGGGAGGGGAGAGAGGGAGGGAGTGAGGGAGGGGGAGGGAGGGAGGGAGGGAGGGACGGGAGTGAGAGAGGAGGAGGGAGGGAGGGAGAGAGGGAGGGAGAGGCGAGGGAGGCAGGAGAGAGGGAGGGAGGGAGAGAGGGAGGGTGGTGAGGGAGGAGAGGGGAGGGAGAGAGGAGAGAGAGAGAGGGAGGGAGGGAGGGAGGAAGGGAGAGGGGAGGGTGGGAGGGAGGGGGGAGAGGAGAGAGAGAGAGAGGGAGGGAGGGAGGGAGGGAGGGACGGGAGAGAGGGAGGAGGAGGGAGGGAGGGGAGGGTGGGAGAGAGAGAGGGAGGGAGGGAGGAGGGCGGAGGGAGGGAAGGTGAGGGAGAGAGGGAAGGGAGGGCAGGGAGGGAGAGAGAGGGAGGGAGGGAGGGAGGGGGAGGGAGAGAAGAGAGGGAGGGAGGAGAGAGGGAGGGAGGGAGAGGGGAGGGAGGGAGGGAGGGAGGGGGAGGGAGGGAGGGGAGAGGGAGGGAGGGAGGGAGGGAGGGAGAGAGAGAGGGGAGGGAGGGAGGGAAGGGAGGAGGGAGGGGATGGGAGAGAGGGAGAGAGGGAGGGAGGGAGAGGAAGTAAGTTAGGGAAGAATTAAGTGTTCCTGACCTCACTATCCAACAGTCTAAAGTTCGTGTTATTAATAGAATAATATTATTATTATCATTACTAATATTATTATGATTTTTATTATTATGTTCGGTATATTGAGACTGGGAATCTAAATTTTCATTGGCATTAAAAATTTATACTGATTATTTTATTGAAGACTTTACCCTCATCATCCGCTTAACTTTGTATTAATTAAATATGCTTAGAAAGCGAGAGAGAGAGAGAGATGTGAGAAGAGAGAGAAGAGACTTAAAAGATGAGAGGGAGTGAGGATGAGAGGAGAGAGAGAGAGAGTGAGAGTGAGAGTGAGAAAGAGTACTTACTCTGACTAGCTTGCGCTCCTCTCTGCGCAGTCTGTCAGGGAGTTCGAGGGTCTTGTTGTGTAAAGTGTTCCAGAAGTTAGACCTCTTGAGGCTGAGGCTGAGTCCTCTTCTCCCTCGGTCGTTCTTCTTGGTGGTCTTCTCCACCGCTCCACTCTTGTTGGTGAGCTTCTCCGCCTCCTTGTTGACCAGCTTGTCCCTGGGAGAGTCGTTGAGCTTGTTCTTATCCTTGAGGTCAGCATTCTTCGAGTCCATGTTGGTGGTCTTGGAGCGCGCCAGGTCATTGTAGTGCTGGACCTGGGTCAGCTCACAAGACCCGGCGCCCTCCGAGGTCAGGTCGTTGAAGATCTTGGTGGTGGTCGCCGTGGTGTTGGTGGCGCTGGGGGCACGTTTGATGGTGTGGCAGCCGGTGTTGGTGATGGGGAGGACACGTCTGAAGGAGGCTTCTCCACCGCTGTTGGTGGTAGTTAGGGCACGGTCTATGCAGGTGCTGCAGCCAGTGTTGGGAGAGGTCGCAGCTGCTATTGGTGATGTTGGTCAAGGAGGTGATAGGTGGGGAATGGTGGTGATTATGGAGGTGGGTCTTAAGAGTTGCCTGGTGATAATGGGGGGGGGGAGGGAATCTATCTAATGAGCTGTGAAAACTGTGGAGGCCGGTGGATAATGGAGGCGTGGAGGTCACTGGTGGAGGTATTAGTTTGCTGTCTCAAGTTGAAGAAGCTACTGTACATTGATAAAGATGAGAGGTGTTTGACGCCGGTGACCTCGCAAGAAGTGGTCTTGGTGGGGTGGCAATTTTGCTGACGGAAAACGAGCTGCAGTTCAGAATGGTGTTGGTGTAAAAGAAAGAGGTGATGGTGTTGACGTTTGAGCTGTTGATGATGCTCGGGCTGTTGGCGGTGATTGTTGGTGAGGATTTTGGGGTATTTGGTGGTGATATCAAGGCTGTTGAAGATGTCTGGAGTGTTGGAGGAGGACGCCGACTGACAGAAACAAGGCTGCTATAGTGTAAGGGGTGTTGGTGACGGTGTTGGTGACGATGTTGGTGACGGTGTTGGTGACGGTGTTGGTGTTGACGGTCGTTTGGTGAACGGTGTTGGTGAAGGTGTTGGTGACGATGTTGGTGGTGAAGCAGCTACTGGCGACGACTCTCCTTCACTTCGCTGACAGTCACGCGCCGCTTACTGGACACCAGCTGCCGCTCCAGTCTGGGGGCGTGGACCAAGTGGTGTGTGAGTGACGCATGAGACAGGTAGTGACAGGTGTCTGTCACTGACAGGAGTGTTTGGCACTAAAAAGACAATCAGTGCCAGTTTGGGCTGTCACTGAGGGACGAGGAACAGCTACCAGCACCTGTCGGAGAGAGGAAACAGATGATCACACTCACGTAAGCTATCACAGAACAACACAGACATAGCAGGCACAAGAATAACTTTTAGTAGTCTCAACACATCATAAGAAACAATACTGGAGTACGCAGCGCCACTAGTTAACCCTCAGCTCAACATTCCAAAGTTTTGCTACAAGGCTGGTGGTAACAAAACATCAAGTGGGGAATTACAACCAGATACCCAGGTGCTGTAAACTGTCTTATTCATCAACAAAGAAGATACCCAGGTATTGCTGGGTGCTGGTTGGTGGGTTCATTGTAGATGACTGTGCTGAGTGGTTGTAGATCGGATGATAGTGGTTGTGGGTGATTATGGTGGTTGTAGCCGTGGTTGTTGTTGGTGGTGGTAGGGGTGGTAACGGCTGCCGGTGATTGCGTTAGCTAGAGGTAATGACGTTAGTGATGGGTCACCAGTGGCAGAGGGCAGGGTGGCAGGGAGTGTGGGGGAGGGAAGGCCGAGGTGGGGGGGAAGGGGGCGGGGTGGGGAAGGGCTTGAGGAAGGCAAGGGAAACATCACCAGTAATTGAAGACTAATTACCTGTGCTTCTCTCCCATTCCCACTACTTGTGCTTCTCTCCCATTCCGCTTAACACTGACAAAACCTACTATATTATGTTTGGTAGCAGAGCAGGAGATGCACAAATTCACATTAAGATTGACAACATCTAATGTACCCAGAATAATAGGCAAATTCCTAGGCTTATACCTTGACAACAACGTGAATTTCAGCACCCATATCCAGCATATAACCAAAAAAATATCCAAAACGGTTGGGATCCTCTCCAAGATACGATACTACGTGCCGCAAAATGCCCTTCTCACACTATACCATTCACTTATTTATCCATACCTACCTATGCTATCTGTGCTTGGGGTTCAAACTGCCAGCAAACACACCTAAAGCCAATAATAACCCAACAAAAAGACTGCTGTAAGGGAATAATCACTAAATCCATCCCTGGCAACCCCACCCCCCCCCCCACTCTTCATAGACCTAATTACTCCCTGCTTCAGTTACACAACACTTACTACTGTGCAATCTACATCTACAGGGCCTTAAACTCTAATATCAAACCTTGACCCTAAAACGCTTCTTGATAGTCTGATGACTGAACCCACAGGGCATAAACACCAGACACATACATCTCCACGACTTTCCCCCGTGTCCGACTAAACCCTTTACAAAAATTTCATGTATGTCAAAGGCCCTAAAATCTGAATACCCTACCTGAGAACTCTAGAAACTGCAGACACATTCATCACCTTCAAAACTACCATTAGATGAAAACATCTTATCTCCCGGATACACCACGTCAACTAACTACACGAATACCACCTGGTGGTTCACACTTACACTCACTGCTCATTTGCCATAAACAGAAATATTAATCTCAATCTTAAAATAATGAAATCCTGTGATACTCCAATACTGAAACTATGTACTGTGCCAAAACAAAAGCATTCACATTGCTAAACTCACAAACTAGTATTTTAGTCACTTAGCCATAATACCAACTTACCTCATAATTTGTAATATTTTACAATTAAGAATAAAACTAAGTCTGCCCGAAATGCCTAGCCATGCTAGGCGTTCTAGTGGTACACTCTGTAATCACAATTTTACTACATGTAAACCAAACAATAACCAGATTTCTGTAAACTCAGCATTGTAATCCTTATAGAGAATAAACTTTGAATTCCCATTACGTGTGCTTCTCTCCCATTCCCATTACGTGTGCTTCTCTCCCATTCCCATTACGTGTGCTTCTCTCCCATTCCCATTACGTGTGCTTCTCTCCCATTCCCATTACGTGTGCTTCTCTCCCATTCCCATTACGTGTGCTTCTCTCCCATTCCCACTACCTGTGCCCATTTCCCATTCCCACTACCTGTGCTTCTCTCCCATTCCCATTACGTATGCTTCCCTCCCATTCCCACTACCTGTGTAGCTCTCCAACACACACACACACACACACAACATACACACACAGTCACAGAGTTGTCAGGAAGTGGAATAGTTTGGGAAGCGATGATGTGGAGGCAGGATCCATTCATAGCTTTAAGAAGAGATATGATAAAGCTCGTGGAGCGGGAAGAGTGACCCAATAGCAGCCAGTGAAGAGGCGGGGCCAGGAGCTGTGACTCGACCCCTGCAACCACAACTAGGTGAGTACAACTAGGTGAATACACACTCACACACACACAACATATGCAGGTCACCTGCCTAGCACAAGCATCTCAATTTCCACACGGCTGGGATAATACTCAGCACAGCAAGACAATCCCAGCATCTGCTACACTAGCTGAGACAGTTGTTATTCTGAGACCGCCACTTGTCCTCAGCGACTGAGTACTGCCAGTGTGTGTGTGTGTGTGTGTGTGTGTGTGTGTGTTGTGTGCGTGTACTCACCTATTTGTGGTTTGCAGGGGTCGAGTATTAGCTCCTGGCCCCGCCTCCCTTCACCGGTTGCTACTGGGTCCTCTCTCTCCCCGCTCCATGAGCTTTATTCAAACCTCGTCTCTAAAACTGTGTATGGTTCCTGCTCCACTACGTCATTTTCTAGCTATTCCTTAGTGCCTTACAACTCTTTGGGGACTGAAGAAATACTTCCTTTATATCTCTCTGACTATTTTGTCTTTCAACTTCCATTGTGGACCTCTTGTTTCTGTGTCCCCTCCTGGAACATCCTGTCCTTTGTCACCTTGTCTATTCCCACGCAGTATTTTATATGTCGTTATCATGTCTCCCATGACCTCCTGTCCTCCAGTGTCGTCAGGCCGATTTCCTTAATCTTTCTTCATAGGACATTCCCTTAGCTCTGTGTAACTAACCTTGTGGCCAAACCTTGTACTTTCTCTAGTTTCCTTGACGTGCTTTATATAAGTGGGGTTCCAAACAGGTGCTGCATACTCCAGTATGGACCTGACTTACACGGTGTACAGTGTCTGAACGTTCCTTACTAAGGTATCGGAATGCTGCTTCTCAGGTTTGCCAGGCGCCCATAGGCTGCAGCAGTTATCTGATTTGATGTGTGGCTTCCGGAGACATGCTCGGTGTTATATCACCCCCCAGATCTTTCTCCTTAGTGAGGTTTGCAGTCTTTGGCCACCTAGGACCTCATACTCTGTCTGTGGTCTTCTGTGCCTTCCCCTATCTTCATGACTTTGCATTTGGCAGGATTAAATTCGAGAAGCCATTTGCTGGACAAGGTGTCCAGTCTGTCCAGGTCTCTTTGAAGTCCGGCCTGCTGGTCCTCATCAGATTTAATTCTCCTCATTAACTTCCCATATCTGCAAAACAGAGGCACTTCTGAGTCTAACCTTCATCATGTCTGTTTAATCATATACCAAAAATAGCACTGGTCCTAGGACCGACCCCTGTGGGACCCCCGCTCGTCACAGGGCCCACTGTGATACATCATTAACGTACCATGACTCGTTGTTGCCTCCCTGTCAGGTATTCTTGATCCATGCAGTGCCCTTCCTATTATATGCGCATGATGCACTAGCTTTGCACTAATCTCTTGTGAGGAACGTGTCAAAGGCCTTTCTTTGCAGTCCAAGAAGATGCCAATCAACCCACCCCTCTCTCTCGTGTCTTACTTCTGTTATTTTGTATCAAAAACTCCAGACGGTTTGTGACACAGGATTTGCATTCCGTGAATCCGTGTGGTATGGCTTTATACTCTTGTTCCGTTCCAGGTGCTCCACCACTCTCCTCTTGATAATCTTCTCATATTTTGCATACTATACACGTCAATGACACAGGTCTAGTTTGTGCCTCTTTTCTGTCTCCTTTTTTTAAAAATGGGAACTACATTTGCGTCTTCCATACCTCAGGTAGTTGCCCAGTTGTCCAGGGACGTGTTGAAGATTGTAGGTAAGGGCACGCACAACATATCTGCATCCCTCTCTAAGGACCCAGGGGAGGATGTTTGTCGGTACCATTGCTTTGAGGTATCGATGTCCCTTAAAGCAGTTTCTTCACCTCCTCCTCATCTGTATGTAATGTCGTCCAACACATGTTGGTGTATTCCTTGCTGTTCTGTCCCCATATGGTCTGTCCCCCCAGAGTTCCTTCCTGTCTCTACTGTCCCTCAATACGAGATTTAAGGAAGTATTTTACATACTCTCCTTAATCTCGTATGTGACTCCTCGCATACCCTCTTGATCGTTTCTTGTGAGTTCTCTCATTCCTTTCTCAAGCCTTATCACCTGGTCCTTGACTGTTGTATTCCCCTAATGTGGCTATACGGCAGTTTGGGGCAGATTTGACTTTCGATGCAATGTCGTTTTCATACTGTCGCTGGGCCCTCCCTCCTTATCTGTGCATACTCGTTTCTGGCTCTTCTACTATCTCCTTGTTTTCCTTGGCCTATTGATCTCCTGTACCTTTTTCCTATTCTCTGTTGCACTTAGTTTTGGCTCCTAACCTTCGGGTAAACCAAGGACTCGTTTTGGTTTCCTATTAATTTCTGTTTTTCCCTTGCGGGAGAACAAAAACTTCCTCTGGCCTCCTTGCACTTTGTTGCCACTATTCCATCATCTCGTTACTGATTTTCCTACCATTTCTCTGTCCCAACTGAACCTCCTGCAGGAAGTTTCTCATACCTGTGTAGTCCCCCTTTTATAGTTTGGCCTTGCCCCTTCAGTTCCTGTTACCTTCTCCACTTGAA